GAAAACAATCGTGCTACCATAAAGACATAATCATCGCAGAGCATTTTCTCAGGATGTGTGGTGGGGTGTAGAATAGTCGTAGCTGAGTTATAGGCCGATATGGATGCCGCGACACGCTGACGTCATTCGCAAACGTATAGGCACATAGAACCGTCAAGGAAAGTGTTAATTTTGGATAACGGTTACTCCAAATTGTATGACAGTATTTAGGCAGAGTTTTACGCAATTATATCTACTGTCTAAATATATGTAATCAATTAAGGTACTTGCATTTATAGCTGCTTCTAACTTCTTTAACCTATGCTAACTAAATATATAGATATAGTTTTGTATGAAAATGTCTCACCTAACTAAATTTAAATAATTTCGAAATACACAAATGGCAAAAACTTAAACTCATGATGGATGTCAGTCTTCATGCCTTTCCTCACTAATACAAAAACTAATATTGTAAATTAAACAAAAAAACCCTTAAACGTTTCAAATAACAGTTCACTAAGGAGAATTTCATTTCTATTAAATCAATAACTTTTCTTTTATATTATATGTATTTATGTATTCGCATGCTCACACTATATTTCTGCTACATTAAAAAAAAAACGATATTACAAATAAAACATAACAGATTGTGGAGCAGTAAAGGAGATGGAGAGAGGAGGAAATTTTAAAAATTTCAAAAATACTTGTATCATTAAAAAAATAATTTGTTGAGTTATTTATCTGTTGGTTTCATCAATTTTTATGCCATAAACTAAATTACTAAATTCTCTCATACCATTTCCTTTACTGTCCACTGAATTCAACTTCTTTATGTGTAAATAAAAATAAAGAGAGAATATTTTCAGTATTATAAACACTTCAACACTTACGTCATTCTTTTCGTTTTTTTTTTTTGTTAACTTTCAACTTACTTTTTGTCAAAAATTTTTGTTTTAGCTATTACTTTTGAAAAAGCATATTCATAGTAAATGCATGAGTTTGCATTCACCTTAATTTCGTTCTATATAAAAAAGGAAACTTTGTAGTAGAGAATTTTTTTTAATAAAATTTTCAATATTTTTCAGTATTTTTGGTTTTATAGATTTCTGTTAAAGAAATTGGCAACATAAATTTTAAAGCAAAAATTAAGTTTACATATCTAAAGGAAAAATATTAGAAAAAATCAAAAATTTAAAATACGGTTTACTTAGTATTGCTATTAGTTGCTATATACGTACGTATGAGTATAACTACACAACCAGTTAAAAATGTTAGAAAAATCATGTAATTCGTTTTACGATTTTTTGAAAATGTTGTTAGCTATTAGTAATTTACTAATTAGAGTGCTGTTTGTTGTGGAGAATACTAAATAAATTTGGAAAATCTATCAAAACAAACGCTTTTACTGATTTAAAAAACTTTTTTCTCGGCGTGTAGTTTATCTTAACTTAATTAGAAACTACATATTTTGGTTTTTTCTTTTGTAGCACTAGTATTTTGCTAACAAAATGTGCAAATTTTCATCCTTTGCCTAAAAGTACGCAAACATTTTTGAAAGATTTTTAACGAACCTATGCCTGCGCCAGTAATGAAACTCATCGCATGACCTGAGCTGCTGCGCCTAAAAATTTGCCTATGAATAAAAAAATTGTTTCGTTGTTGTACGTAACAATAACATTGCATTATTTTAGGCGCAGTAGTCATGCGTTAAATTTTGCATTGGCGTGGTAGCCGGGTCTTACAAAATTTTGCAATTTATTTTTGGCATACTTTTAGACACCTCAAATGAAATCCTGCAATAAGCACACTTTGTTATTTGCGCCAAATTTCGAAAATACCAGCATATTTTAAGACGAATTTCGTTTTTGAGCAACAGATTTACGACGACGTGTACATAAAAAACTTGAAAATAATTCAAAATAGTACTTTCCAAAGTAAAACTACTAGCGCGAATATTAAACACCATTTGGCTTTAAGAGCCGATTGTAAACTTCCAAAACAATTCATAAACGTTTTTCGCTAAAAAAAGAAAACATTAAGAGAAACTATTATTCGCAACAATCACTACTTGTAATTTTTTTTATTCCTAAGTTTTCAAACTTGGATTTTACGAAATTTTTTCATTTTAATTCTGTGATGAAAGTGAATGTCCATAAAAGCTTAATTGTATCCCTTCATGGTAGAGCTTTTTCATTTCTTATTTAGTCTTAAACCTCAAGCCTCGATCTTCCATAACTGTGGAGATAGTAAACATATTACCGCTAAAAACCGAAAATTCCTTTAGCTAAAATTCGTCCAAAGTTTCGAAAATGAAATTTTATTTGCGAAATTCTTAAATGGTATCACATATTGATACTCGCTAAAAACGTAAATTATTAACCTCGCCGCTGTAGGTTTAAGTTAGATAGAAGTGGCCGCCGATCTTTAAAAGACAACAAACCGAGGCACTTTGAAGGGGCCATTGTGATATCACATGGATCCAATTGAAGCTAGATCACTTAAAAATCATTTATTCAGAACTCAGCTCCTTAAGGCGTGGGTGACCCCAAATTGTACGTGTCTACCTGCCGATAAACATATATGCGGGCTCTTGAAAGTTCGTTCATCTGCCCACTTCCTGCGCCCCGATACCCATACTAGCGAACGGCTTTGATATCATATTAAGAAGTATGAGTGTTAGGTTACAGAATAGAAAACGGAGTCTTGTAGGGTATTCTGCGGAAATACCGAATCGATCACCAAACTAGCTATTGGCGACAATGTTGTATTGTGCAACATGAAATTAACCTCTGCCAGTTAGTCGCCTAAAAATTAATGCGGTTCTCTTCACTGGGAGAAGGGCATTTGAAGTTTTGTCTCTACCTGCACTCAAGGGTGCCACGATGAAACATTCTCATAAGGTTATGTAGTAAGGGGTTACTGTAGACTTCAGGGTTTTGTCAGAAAGAAAGTATTGTTCAATAGGAGCTTAGAGGTTATGGATATCTAACTGATGACAGGGCCAAGTGACTTGTGAAATAGAAACCAGGACCAATGAACCTAAATCAAATCTTTGCTCTGGAGAAAGGATGTTTTTTTTTACAGGACAACTTTAGATTTTTCTTATCCATAATGGGGTACGCTATTGTCTTTCAAGGGAGATATTAACCCTATCAGAGAGAATAGTTAGAACTGAACTGAAGGCTGTTTTCAAGCTTATTGTATACTCTGCTGTTGTTGATGAATATATTTAATATAAATAGGAACAAAGTTACCATTGCTGGCTGCTGAACTTGCTAGGCAGAAATCGCATATAAAAGCCCGGTGTCGGTATCTACCCGGTTTTGGTTGAAGGCATTCTTAGGTCACCGACAAAATATCTTCGAAATGTGTTACTGTTACTTGTCGGTATTTTATTCTGCCAGTAAAGGCTTGTTAAAACCCTGCGTGAGTTACGTTTATTGGATGACAACAAATGACCCTCTTGTCTGGAAGATAAGGACACTGCTAATTGGAAGCTGATACTCTCATTATATAGTTTTTCAAGAGCGGTTTATTCTATTATCAAAGACTAGCCCACCCGCGGTTTCGCAGGAATTTCTCCTATCTGGTCCTATCCTTATACATCTGCATTCTATCATTTGTTTTTAGTACGGATTAGTGTATATGTACTTCCGTCACTTCAGCGGATATTGGAACTAACAACGCAGATGTGAAATAAGCCCTTACGACAGTTGAATTTGTAATACCTGATTGCGGGAATATTGTATTTTCTCAATCCCTTAGCACTAAAATCAAACGTTACCTAGTATGCGTTGTTGATTGCGTTTTGCTTAACAAAGTGGTGTTTGCATCATCGTTACTTCACGATAAGTTTCGAAGAGTGCAGTGCATGATAAGCGCGTGCCACACATAATTCCTGCAGTGCAATTCCGAAAATCTATATCGCTAATTTTAATCACCAAAATTCTCGAAAAGAATAGCATAAGCACCTAAAGACATGCATCATCTAGTTACATGTCCCGCATGCCGCGAGTTTCGGCTGATAACACTTAGCACCTGAAACCTCAACCTTTGCTCCAGCATGACATTTCTTAAGCCAAAGGGAGACATGAAAGTATGGAATAAATCTTACTGCACATGCTAGATATATTGCTACATATCCCTCCTGAAGGCATCGCTGGCACCTCCACGAGGTTAATTTTTCTACAGGTTGTCCAAAAGGCATACGAAGTTATCAAAATTGGGCGATTAAGTTGAGCTGGTATTTTCTAGCGGGAAGAGATGCATTCGAAACAAAAATTCGAGGAATTCTGGGGTTTTAATTTCAGCTGCCTTCGAAAAGGGGAGACCCCATTGACTCACTCAAAAGTATTTCTGGAAGATGATTATTGATTTTAAAGAAAACGTTGACCAGAAGTATGCACATTCCTGCGATAAAACTCAAAATTACTTCATACTCGTACGATAACAACTTTTTTATAAGATAAAAAACCCAACTTATTTTCTTTAATTGGGCCGCCAAAGAGTAGTTTAGGTATTTAAAATACCTACTCCTTAATACTAGCAGAATTAACAATACTAATCGCTTCGAAGAAAATTTAATGCCATGAGCAAAAATAACTAAATTTTGATAGGAAATTGTGAAAAACTCTAATTTTTCGTCGTGCGTTTCCTAACAAAAGCTTATGCAATTAGACTCAGCCATTTTTCACTTTCATCACAGTAATGTTGGCTATTGTTTCACTCTGCCAAATTTTATAATTACCAAAAAAATTCTATCAACCATTTGTTGACAATCAAACAATCAATTGCCATGACCGCAATGAAAACATAAATAAATTTCACGATTCAACTAATGCAATTTATCAAATGTAAATTAATTGCTTTTAGTGATGTTAGTAAATTAGTTTAAGAGAATTGAAAAAATTTTTACTTTTTAATTAAAATTTAAATTAATTATTATTATTAGTATTATTTTTTTTTTTTGTTTCTTTAATTAGTGATTAATATTTAATAGCGACAATTTAATATTGTCGCACCTTCTTTCTGATTTGTTGTACGTTTTTTATGAACCGTTGGCATTGCCGCCTGTGGGTGTTGCCTTAGATGCAGTTGTTGCTGCTGTTGCTGTTGTTGTTGGCTAGCTTTGAGCGCCCCCATTGATATTGATTTTCTGGGGTGATCCGCCGCATCGCCGGCCTCAATGCCCTTTTGTCGTCGGACATTGGGCCAAACGAATTGCAAACGATATTCTGTGCTCAATTTTGAGATGGTCTTTTTGAATAGGCCATTTGACTCACCCGCCTGCAAAAGAGAAGAGCAGAGGAGAGAAATACAAGAAGAAGAAGAAGAAATAGAATAAACACCAAAACGAGAACGAGAGTAAGAAATATTTAAGTGCAATAAATTGAAAAGCAAAATTTATATTATTAGTTAAAATAAAGAAATTTGCAAGTATAAAAATTTTCATATATATTATTTATATTTTTCCACAATGCAATCACGTTGACGACGACAGCAAGAGTAGCAATATTTTATTAGCAAAGTAAATGGGAGAAAAATTGTTGGAGAAAAAAGAAAAAAGAGAAAGACAAAATACAAGTATTTTTTGTAAACTATACATTATTTATGACTAAGTAAACAATTGTTTGTTATAAATAATCCTTTGAATATACATATTTACATATAATACTCCAGTACTGAATAGGCGATACATAACTTTACATATAAACAATTTTAGTTCGTGGCTACAACTCAAATTCATGCCAAATGATAAAGTAATTCCAAAATTTTATCCACATTGAAAACTGTCCTATATGTAAATAGAGTTTTCGTATATGAATCATAAAAAAAAAATGTTAAAGTAATTCCGAAATTTGATCCACATTGAAAACTGTCCTATAGTTATGTAATAGAGTTTTCATATATGAATCGGTTAATTACCAAAGCAAATAAGTTGGAAATCTGCTGTGTGAGCTTAACACCGACATAGACATAGTGCAGTGAATTAATATAAAGCGGCGTCGCTGGTTTGGTCATGTCGTTTGAATGGACACCGACGCTCCAGAACTGAAAGTAATCAACTTGGTAACCGCTGGTGGTTGCAGGGGAAGAGTGCCAGGAAATAAAAAGTGGAGAAGGACTTGGCTTCACTTAGCATTTCCAAATTTGCGTCAGTTGGCACAGAACAGAAACGACTGGAATGCTGAATTGTTCCCTTTGGTAATTAACTGATTCGTATGTATGTATAATCATAGTACTTAATCATGAAATAAATGTCATACTTTTGATTATAAATTGTATGAAATGGACTGAATCTTGCGCATTCATACATACACATGTTTGGCATAAATCACTTCCCAGTAAACATTGGGCTTGGTCAACAATTCGAAAACGATTGGAAAACTAACATTTTTTCAAGTCTCACGTTCGGTAACGCATGTGGAATAGCTTAGTATTCCATTCGATAACTAGGCCATTCTCCATCAAAACGGAACCCTCGTTATCCCTTCCGTCCCAATGACGGGTTCTTTGAAGTCCTCAAAATAGCGCTTGTTTCAGTGATACGTTCTTCAGACGACAAGAATCGCTTACCGCCCAGCCATTTAGCTCGGTTTGGAAACATAAAATAGTCGCCAGAAGCTACATAAATCTGGTGAATATGGTGGTTTGGGGTAGGAGTTCGTGTCCCAATTAATGGACTGCACTGTCGTGATGGAACATCACTTCGTTCTTGGCCAAATGTGGTTTATTACGCTTCAAATCAGTTTCGAATCTATCCGAGATCTCTGAATAATATCCGTCAGTGATCGGTTTGCCAGTTTTAAAATAATTGCTGCGAATGATACCGCGTGCATCCTAAAAAACTGGCGCCAAGACCTTATTGGCCGATAGACCTATTTGGACTTCTTTGGTGCACTTTTTGATTGCTCCTTGATCTCTGGTGTGTTATGGTGGATTTATGTTTCATAAAATATTGCGAAATGGTGAAAAAAAAACTCATTCTGATTGAGGCTGAAACATCGCCACACATTCATTTTTTGGCGGTAGCCATCACGATGTTAGCTTTCTCATATCCAAATATTCATGTAAAATATGATCTACCCCCTCAGTAGAAATGCTTACAGCGTTCACTCTCTGATCGTCCAAAAAATTCACAAGGCTGTCAGCTTTCAACAGCTTTAAAGTAAAGTCATTGACTTTTGAAATTTCCCTCGTATAAATGAAAAGGTAAAACATACAGCAAACGAAGAAAGTTCTATATCGAAGCCTAACCGCCAAAACAACGTAAATGAAATTTTCGTTTTTAATTTTCTTGAGAAAGTTGACATTATTCAAGATTTTCTTTTTGAGCATCTATATGCATTTCTTCAAAATATAAAAAGCCTAAAAAACGTCACTTAAGTTGTTTTTGCGGTTAGATCTCAATAAACATTCCTCATTGATCTTATGTGTGCGAAAATTCTTATTAATTTTATTTATAAGAATATCTTTTAAAAATTACTGAGAAAATCTGCTTAATTGCATCGCTTAAAAA